ATAAAATGGCTGAGAAAGCCACTAGGGGGACTTTCTGAGCTTCCGATTGGTTATTCATGACATATATAAAAGTAAGTGTATATAAGGGAGTGTTTCCAAAAATGGGAAGATGTGGGTGGGGTGCCACTGTGTGATTTATTACATGAGCAATATCTTAGCAAATCAAAAAAATTAGAGGCTCTTATTTTATATTCTAGCTTGTCAATATCGGTAATCGGAGTTTCTAATTCGTTCGAAACTACAGGCTTAGTGTTTTTACTTCACAAACATCTAATTTGAACCAGTGCTGCATTCAACACACCACGTGACACACAAAAATCTTTGTTTATCTGTGGGGTTTTTTCTACAGTTTGATACCAAACTTATTGACATAAATTAATGAAATAGTAGTTCAATAAATTTTTGAATGCGAATCAACAAACGAGATGACATAGCCTTTCACCCGTGACCCGTCTCGAAAGGGGTAATTGAATAACTTGCTGGGGGCAAAAAAGGCTATCACTATATAGCAAATACGTACAGTATTATTTAGGTTTGCACGGGTACAAATTTTATAACCTAATCTTCGTGTTCATAGTGTTTTGACATGATAATGATTGTTTTTATAATATTCTGATAATATAATTTCTATACACGCAGAAAACCTTAAAATTAAATAACTAATTGTTGCATCCCTTTGCCGGCAGTAAAATGCACCGGTAGTCATTCACTACCACAGTAAAATGTGGTAGAACCAGCGCAGATAGCCCTCGTGTAGCTTTGCGCGAAATTTAAAACAAAACAAACCTTTCACCCCACCCCCTTTTAATGCCCTTGCACCTTTAAAACCATGTAACTCAAACAACAGTTATTCAAAACTACCTACATACATCACACACGTTTTAACTAACCTTATTGAGGTTTATACTCACTGTTATAACAAACTGATGTTAAGCATATCGTCAATCATTTATCATCTTTATTTATTGTTTCTGAAAATTCATTCGTGGGAACTAATACAGGTGTTTGCAGCTTAGCTGTATGCAACTACTTGTGTTTTGTTTACCAGAACAAGGATGACATTAGTAACTTTCTCAATATAACACCACACGGTGCAGTACACTTGGATTTGTCACCAACATGCATCAAACAATCAATGTTGCTAATTCCATCACAGATAAATACTACAATGTTTAAAAGTTTTCACTATTAAGGTATCCTAACAATCATCATTTATATGTTCTACGTGATTAATTAAAACAAGATTCGTGAAACATAAGTTACAGCAACACTGTACATGTTGTTGTCACCTGACTCGCCTTTTATACATTTTACATGATTCGTTAAAACACCAGTCACAACAATAGTGTACGTGTTGTTCTTAAAACTCCTTCTATACACTCTATATAATTTATTAAAACATTGATCACAGCAACACTGTACGTGTTGTTGTCATCTGACTCGCCTTTTGAACATTCTACGTGATTCAGTAAAACATAAGTGACAACAATAGTGTACACACGTGTGTCATTTGAACGCCTTCTACACGCTGTATATGATTCATTAGAACACAAGTCACACTACCGTATGTGTGACTGCCACCTGAATCGCTGTTTGTATCAATTTCCACAACTGATTTACCACCCACAAGACGATAGCATTTACATCAACAATACAAACTATCAGGAAGATGATGTAGCTGGTTCAACAACAAAGGAAACCGATATCAGTTTATCATTAAGCTACTGTAATCAGACACTCCTTGAATAAAAGATGCCACTGGTCGTGGTATCACAGTTACTGATGGCCTTGTTTGACAAGATGAGTTCGATTTTTCATTCCTCAGGATGTGCTACTCTTTTCATTTTATTAACACTTAGCTACTGTGCCAAGGGCACTTTTTGCTCTCTTCTCCATTAAAACTACATTAGCTGCCACCAGGGATCCTTTAGGAGTTGAAATTGGTATCTGCGTCTCAATGCTGTGGAAACTCAACTTACCATACTCGGCACAAGTCACGTGATCAACAGCCTTCTTGGCTAGCCAAAGGTTTTCTTATTAACATCCCTGTGGTTCGAAATCCCGTAGAGATCAGCACAAGTGGGCTTGCGATCAAAAATCGTTGACTGTTTTTATACGACTTTAAAGAGATGTGTGGAAAAAAACTGTAACGGAAGTGATGTTTATACAAGAAATTGTTGACGGCATTACTGGAATGCTGGGTTAGTTAAATAACCTGTAAACCAAAAAAATGTACAAACTGCTACAGAATTTGTAGCTTAGAACTACAAAACTTTTTTTTAGGTAATTTGATAATTTAAGTTCAAGAGTGGACTTGTTTTTAATTGCATCTTGTCTTAACAAAGTCCAACCTCTCTATTGCGTTCTAGAATATAGTTTCAACAGAATGATAGTTTTTACTTGTATGTATTCCTACTTTTAAGTTCAGATCACCCAAACAACAGTTTCCAACACTTGCAGTTCCTATTTGTATGTAGTTCTATCCTACCTAGGTTCAGACACCCCCCCCCCCAAACAACAGTTTCCAACACACTTGCAGGTTCTACCTGCATGTACTCCTATCTTTCAATTCAGTCTCCTAAACAACAGTTTCTAACAGACTGATAGTTTCTACCTCCATGTACTACTATCTTTCAGTTAAGTCTCCTAAACAACAGCTTCTAACAGACTGATAGTTTCTACCTCCATGTACTCCTATCTTTCAGTTCAGTCTCCTGAACAACAGTTTCTAACAGACTGATAGTTTCTACCTGCACATACTCCTATCTTTTAGTTCAGTCTCCTGAACAACAGTTTCTAACAGACTGATAGTTTCTACCTGCATGTACTCCTATCTTTAAGTTCAGTCTCCTGAACAACAGCTTCTAACAGACTGATAGTTTCTACCTGCACATACTCCTATCTTTTAGTTCAGTCTCCTGAACAACAGTTTCTACCTGCATGTACTCCTATTTTTCAGTTCAGTCTCCTGAACAACAGTTTCTAACAGACTGATAGTTTCTACCTGCATGTACTCCTATCTTTCAGTTCAGTCTCCTGAACAACAGTTTCTAACAGACTGATAGTTTCTACCAGCACATACTCCTATCTTTAAGTTAAGCTCCACACACACACACACCTCAAGTACGATTTTTACTTACATGTATTCCTATATTTAAAATCTAGTCCCAATGAATAACATAAGTCCAGTAGTAAGTTAGTTAAATCTCATCCTAATATGTAGTTCTGATCCCCCACCCAGCATTTCTTGGCCATACAGGCAGTTGTATTAAATCTCATCCCATTTGAGTTCTTATTCACACACAGCAGTTCCCGGTCATGCTGACAGTTGAAAGATAAATCTCATCCTAACTTAAGATTCTGATCCCAACACAACATTTCTGGGGCATACTAGCAGTTGCTTTGTAAATCTCAATCTAAATTTAAGGTTGTGATGTCCACACAGCATTTCCCGGAAATACTGGCAGTTGCAAGATAAAAATTATCCTAACTTAAGGTTCTGATCCATACACACAGCATTTCTCAGGTATATTGGTAGTTCCTACCGGTAAATAGTATCCTATCTTAAGGTTCTAACCCACATACAGCAGTTCTCGGGCATACTGGCAGTTGCAAGGAAAATCTCATCCAAACGTAAGAGCCTGATCCACATACAGCAGTTCTTGGATATATTGACAGTTCCTAAGCAAATCAGACTAAAACTTTGAGCACGGTCTCGGAAATAGTTGTCCTAATAACACATCCACAGTTTCGAGGTGAATTAATTTACTGTGTATTTGATACAAAGCTGTTTAACCTGTACGAGTAAAAATATCTTTGAAAATGTAAAATGTAGGCGATTCAAATTTCACTGGAGTCCAAAGTGTTAAACTCGTTTTTTAAGCATCCAACCCTCCATCCATTTCGTGCAAGTATGTCTTTCCAGATCTATATAAATATGTGTAATCTAATTAACATACTAGCCAATCGATTCGAAACGTTTATTTTCAAAGCAAACAGGCGTTTGGACTTTGGAAGTCAACAATTTCGCACCGTCGTTGTCATAGTAACCTTGGGAATACAACCTTTCACTTTTGAGTGACATAAATGATAGTGAATTAGTTACCACGAAATTTAGCTTTATCAAAATCTCAAATACTCTGACAATTTTCTGGCAAAAGTAAAAGTACATCTGTTTTAACTAGAAGCAACATCCGTTAAATGGGAACAGACATATACAGATAGAAAAGGCTTATGTTAGCATATTACACATTGTTTTTTTTTTATTTTTATTGTCTTTCCGTTACTTCACACTACCTGTAGATAGAAAGCCTTTTGTCACATATTTCATTCTTTCTCAAATACGTCACGCCAACACACCTTTTAACACAACAATGAAGAATAGCACCTTGAGTTGGATGGAAATACGGCACGTGTATTATACTTATCAACATTAATATCGTAGTCATTAGACATAATAAATCTGTCACAAATTTAAGTAAGAAACTTCGAGCTTTCTAACAAACTAACCTATGGTGGAAGAATTATCACAAAGAACGAGTTAAATAATAAATCAAAATAGCCTCTCCCAGTAACTAAATTCTTAGCGATTTCTGCATCCGAATTTTAGGAATTTTTCAGTGGACTGCCAAAATTTCATTGGTAATTTATTCTTTGTTGCTTATAAATATAGACACTAGTTAGGGTGATTAAACTTTACTGCGCGTAACTCAACTAGGCTTAGTTGTTTACAAAAATACAATTTTTCAACAAAAACAACTTTGTTTCATATGTTACAAACTTCTAATGATATATTAATACAATACTTAATGCATATAATTGTTAATGTTACATAGTTCATACATCTACAAAATATTATATTTAAAAATAAATTGAATATTTTGTTACATTGGATTGTATTCATTACTGTTATTTTAAATTATTTTGAGTCTATACAACCAGCCTACTTTCCATGACAAGACCTTTATACTTTTATTCAAACTCTGTGTAAAATTACGTACCCTTCCTAAACAATGTCTTTTATTCATCGCCAGAAGCGCCGCTGCTGCCGCCTGGTGGTCTGTGAATTCCACGAAACAGTACCGATCATTTCCAGTCTGGTAAGAGAAAGAAAATTTTTTAAGTATATTAACAATCTCTGTGATGAATAGAGCATCTGTTTAAGTATTTTACAATATTACTCTTTCGAAACAATTCTAAGCAATCAATACACACAATTTAACGCACGGAGCATAATGAATACGGGGTACATGTAAGCTTATAAATATTCGCTTTACGGTGAACAAAATCGCACGTTCTTCAACTTTACTGCATATTACAATATTATAGAGTTGCGTCTGGTTTTAAATAAATCCGACATCAGCTAGTTTTATTATCACTGTAATAAATAATTATTTTTTATTATAAGTAGTCTAAATTGAATACATATAAGCTATGTTTACATCTAAAATAGGAATAATTGAAGGAATGTGTCACCAGATGACACTATGATATCATTAACATGCTTACACGTGCGATATCAGAAAGGTCCGTATGGCTAAATTAAAATATCAAAAAAAATGTTTATATCCATCCGAAGAATAAAGCAACAAAGGTGTTTGTGATTGACAAATATAGCTATATGATGACTTTATGTTAGGAGAATAATAGATCAAAAACAACCACAGATCCTGTTGACAACCTGAAGAAACGAAATTTGCGAAGGTTATTGATTAGCGAACCACGTATTATGCAAAACGCGCACAAACAAATGGTTGTGAAGTTCTTGTCAATTACATAACAACACAATGCGCTTACAATTAAATCACTTAAACATAACACAAGCAATACGATGACGTAACCAAATATTGAGATGGGGGGTAAGGCACAGTTTACTGTGTTATCAAGTCTCATTGCAGATAATATAATACATCAAAAGGGTCTTTATACATGCATATCCAAGTATTAATCCTTAACCTCTGAAAACAAATAAATGAATGCTGGCTGCCATTAACGTAAATGACATGGAGTTTTATCATAATATGAACATTAATGACAAAGGTAAAAATAATAATAAACATGGAACAAGTTATTACAAACGTAATAACCCAGTCATCTCGGTTCACTTTCTATTTAGGGTAAGTTCCATCTTGTTAAAGTTTTTAATTGCAGGGCTGTGTTTACAACCTTTTCCTACAAGATTGAAATACAGTGGATATTTTGGAGTGAACTAAATCTACTCTCCAAACAAGGACCATCCAAGTGGATTTAAAACAAAATAAACCTTTAGACTTACACCTGAGTCAATGAAAGGAAAACCCTATTTCCATTGAACTACGTTAAACCTATATAAGTTTATTTAAATAAATTACAAAATAAATGTTTATTCTGCAATTTTAGAAATTTGCTTATCAGTGTGGTATATCATTTGTTTAAACTATGTTTCGTAAAGACTTTATTATCAGTGTCGCATATTCTTTGCAGGGTTCCTGCACCTATGCAGAAATGAAATTTCATGACTTTTCAAAGACCATTTTTAGATATTCAAGGGCTATTTCGTGTGTTACACAAGAAACTGCACCTGGACATACACGTTTTCAAATATAAATATTATACAAATATTGCTAAATGTTTTATATGCCGAAAAGGCAACAGTATTTTTATTACTAATCTAGCAGTGTTCAAGTGCAACTGAATTATTTGAAAATCAAAAAAATCAAAGTGCTTCAGCGTTTTTTGTTTGATAGTTTCTGTTCAATTTTCATTGTGAAACCCTTCAAGGATTCCTCCTCTCCTAGGGAAGTTGGCCATTGTGAAGAGGATAAGATTTCTTTCCTTTTTGGCTTTCTCAAAGTTTTTATTAACTGATAAAAAAGCTGCCTACTATCAGATTCAAGTCTGATCTTATGTTTGAGGGCTTCCATTATCAATTCAGTTTCTCCAACCTTTCTCTTGTCATCACCTTTCTGTGACTTCTTCTTCCTGGATTTTCCTCTTCTAAATATGTCTTATACTTTTGTCATTTTCCTAGTCATGTTTACATTTAAGACACCCAAAGCATGTCTAATGTGGTCAGTTATGACTCTCATAGCATTAAGAGACATGCTTTGTTGTTTTTCTGCAATAGCTTCTTTATTTACAGAAAATAAACCGTTCGTATACGCGAGTTTTGCAAACTCTCCAAGGCATTTGGAATTGCTTCTTGTCTGACAGGAGAAGGAAATATAGATTATACAGTCTGTCCCGTTCTCTCTGAAACATGTGAACTTTTGAATCAGACGATGGCAGGTACGTCATAAGAAACTATTTTGACTGCTTGAGGATAGTCCCTTTTTTGGACTCTGCCTACATTTACCAGATATTTTAGGGAATATGAAAATATAATAGCACTTGATGATACGTTAAACAACATCACGTCCGAAATCAAGCAGCTCATGTTCCTTACCAAGCTATAAGTTAAGGGGAACTTCTGTATAACTTTCACAACAGCAGCCTTGAGGAACTGTCTGCATTAAAGTCTAAAGCCTAGCAAGTCTATTACTAATTTTTGAAGCCTTCCTTAAATAAGTAAGGACTCTTTTAGTATCAATTTTGAAAGGTTTCTTTAAACATTTTTTTTTGTCTATCAAATTCGGGCTTGCAACGTGTTGCGGTCCAATTATGTTTTCCAGTCGTTTTGAAGCGACAAATCTTTCCAAGAGTTCCCTAACAAGAACAAAGAGATCTGCAGTCATAAGTCTACATCAATTTATCAATCTGGAATTCTTTGAAAAAAGCTTCGATTTCTCTAGCAACTGAAAGAAAAAACCGAGGATGAAGAGATGGGAATTAACAACTTCACGAATAATGTCATATGATTAAGTTTTGTGGTTTTTCTGCGCACCCACATGTTTTAAGATGAGATAGCAGGGAGAAGCACTTCTCCGCAACACTGATGTTCTCCAGCTATCAGTGCTTACAAAAACTTGGAAGCCCCGAGCATCCAGGCTCATTTTTGAAGTCATAAGCTCTCGCTGAAGATTCTGAAAAAAAAACAAAAACTAGAAGTTTGCCAGATTTTCTTCAAATTTCCAGTTAGCTGATTTACACTAATTTCTAAAAGCATTGTGAATTGTGTGTAAACCACATTATCCAATTTGTAAGAGGTGTCTTTTTGGACTGAGTTTATTTGCTTCAGTTGATAACATTTCATGTGATTTTCAATTGACATCGGGCTGTCCATGGATGTCTGCAATAAATTCTTCGAACCGAGACTTGTGACAGTAAAGAACAGCTTGTCAAATAGATCAGTGGCAGTAGCAAGTCCAACTTGGTATATCTTGTGTGGACAGTTTTTCATCCCCAAAACGAGCATGGATTTAACATTGTTTCATCTTGGTGAACTTGTTCAAGCTCTCATCAAAACAAAAGAATATATCCATCAGACTTCTGGATTTCCTGCTTTAATACGAAAATGAAATACGGAGCTAATTCATGTATGGCTAAATATGATG